ACTAAAAGATGTACTTTGACATTGAAATTTTTGAATTTATAACTTCCAATATTATTGGACATAATACTTTATTAAATTTATTTATTATTAAAACGGCTAATTACTTTAAATTATTTTTAAAACTCATGATCTAAATTAACGTTTTAATACTATGGTAAATAAAATAATATAATTACCTTTGTTTGGTTATATTTATGTTATTTATATATATATATATCTTAAGTTTTAATTTAATTTAATAAAAATAAATATAAAAAGTATATCTTAATTTAACTACTTATATGCTAAAATAAAATTAATCAGTAGAGGTTTAATAGTATCTACGGTATATTCTAAACTTGAAAAAAATTATGAAGTGATAATACCCATTATATCCAAGAGCATTTAAAAATTGGTAATTGATAATGGATTTATTAATATCACACAGATATTAACCAACTATAAACAATTTAATTAAAATTCACTACTAAAGCAAAAAAATCTAATTACCTTAGTATTGTAAATTTATAATTGACTACTACAGATTTAGGAAATTCAATATATTGTCATTACTCATTAGCATACAAAACTATCATAATGGATATCCATTATTCTATTAAATTCACGATTAACCAATTTACTTAAATTTACCACCCAATTTACTATAACTACCTAAAATACCCTAGATTTTATATTCACAATCCCACTTATTTTGGTAACTATATCAACAAGAATAAAAAAAAATGGCACTTCTCCAAAACACGATTAAACCTAACTTGGAGCTAACACACATATGACCTTTATAAATATTTTATTTACCTCATTCTCATCCCTAATCTTACATATATATATAAAAAAAAAACATTCTCAATATTTGACTATGAAATTTGTTAGGACACAAAGACAAAATGTTCTTGATTTAAGTCTTAATCGAACTGAATAGTGTGTTTACGTTAGAATATTGAATATTTGGAAACAACCAAATCTACATGATGAAACTAAAAGGTGGCATAATAAAAAAGGGAAAGAAGGAGTGGCATATTTGAAATTATCCCATAATTTAATATATATAGATGATTAATAATTTTAACACATAAATAAATCATTTAATATGTTATGGTATTTTCAACTATTTTACAAGTGAAACACATTTGTATAAAAACAATTACAAATTCAAATATATAAAGCACATCATAGAATCCGTAAA